TTCAAAAAGGCCCACGAGCCCACGTTGAGTATGAGAGATTAAACCTCCTCTTCTTACTTCCTGCTATCGTTCTCCATTAGAAACAATCCCACTCCTACCATCATGATATACTGATAACCACAACACCTAAAACGCCACACATAATCGTAACGGGATATAAAATTGACTACCATGTCTAAATTAACGAATAGCCCGTTCGTCAAACTGTCCACCTCAAAGTTAGCATAATTTTGCAAAAACTACATGGACCAGTACTTAATCGTTCATGTAAGGGAGACTAAAAATAATGCACCCAGATCACCGCTCGACGATTGAGAGGAATAATCAACCACACCCAGTGTGCGGCAGTGTTTCTGAGAACTTGGCCATCGAAGGACAACGTTACTAGGCCACCCTCATTCAAACAGGGTCGTCGATATTGGAGAGAAGGCATACGAATCTACAACCCGCATGCTTAACTGGAAAAAAATAAAAGATGCTTGCAATCACATAAGCTGTCACTTACATAACAACATTGCGCAGCTGTGTACGCGAGCTGCTCCTGCTTTTGCAAAAAAAAAAAAAAAAAAATAAAAAACAGTGTCAGACGCATATATATATGGGTAATTCATGCAAAACAGTTGCCGCATGCACTCCCCTCACTATACCCTATATCTCTACATTTTCCCTCTGACTGTTAAGTATGACAAATGTCCTTAACGATGCAAATACGAGCAATGAATTTGAAAAAGTGATCAAGCCAACATATTATATTAAAAAGCATTCACTTCTCCTTGGCGAATTTCTTTTCCCCCAAATAGCAATCATTGTAATGTGGTGTAGGTATACGTCTTAAACTATTTTTAAAAGTCCAAGAATCACACAGTTGGAAAAAATTCGTCCACTGTGCCATTTTTTTTTTTCACGCACTCATTACCCACTGCGTTACCCTAACGACAAAGGTACAATAATAACGGAAACAAGAGAGAGAAAAAGAATGACGAAACTCAATCTGTCAGTCATCGTGCACGGCATCCCAACCGCAGTCGTTGTTGAGCGTCACCGTTTAGAAAAAGGAAGAAAAGCATAAAAAAAAGACAAACTTTCGAGTCGAGACCGCTGACTTGACGCGCTACCGACGTGGATCATTTTTTTTTTTTTTCTCTTTCCTTTGCCCATCAACTTCATCGTTACGTGTGTATATATATGTATAAATCGGTGATGCGACAGAGCTCGAGTTTCCTATATACCTCTTACGCGACGAGACCGACCAACTGACCTGAATAATGGATGTATTCGTTCTCGCGTCATCGTAAAAATTTGCGAACGCCGTCTTGCCCCCCTGTGTACATTCGAT